TCCCACAAGATCTGGAGGACCATAGGCTTTTTATTCCTGTTTTACACATTACGGTAGCATATTGGGTAAGAAGGGAAAGGACCCCTGGATGGTTAAGTCCAGTCAAATTCAAATACTGGGTGTGGCGCTCATCTCCACTTTCTGGCTGAGGGAGTTGGCCTTTTGTCTGCAGACGGCTTTTCCGGGTCATGTGGGCAGCATGACTAAACCACTTCTGGAGCACCGTGACAAGAGCCAGAGTGCACAGAAACACAGTTTACCTTCCTGACACAGCAGTGCCTACTTATCTACTCGCACTGGTATGCTTTCAAACTGCTAGGTTAGCAGGTGCTGGAATAGAGCAACAGGAGCTCACCCCGTTGCACAGATTTTAGCTGCCAACCTTATGATCAGCAAGCTCAAGAGCTCAGTGGTTTAGACCACAGTGCCACCCACATCCCCTAGCACAGTAGGACAAACTTATGGGGAATGAAGTAGTGCTATAGTATCCACAGCGCACCCAGTAAATGGGTATTATTAATGTTTGAAGTATGACTACCCTTAAGACCAAGTAGGAATTTGCTTCCCCTCCCTGTCACACTGGTAATAGCTGGGGGGGGGGAATGTTGACCCTTCTTTTGCAATACCCAACTTGGCTCACTTGCACATATCACCTGGAATTGTTTGGGTTTTTTGTTTTGCAGCCTGTCTCCTTTGGGAGATAATCCATAACTCTAGGGCAGAGTGCATGCTCTGAATGGAAAAGTTCCAGGTTCGACCTGTGGCATCTCCAATTATAAAGGAAGTCAGGTAGCAGAAAGACCTCAGCTTGAGACTCTGGGAGCTGATTGACAGAGTAGGCAACACTGCCAATGCAAACCAAACCAATGGCTTGATAGGTGGGTGAATGGGTGCCCTGATCCTGTTTTGCGGCACAGCACTGAATTAATGGCCAGTTGACCCCCTTCCAACACTACGGCTAAAATATAAAATATAAAATATATAGTATGTCAGCTGCCTGAAGGGTGCAACTGGTGTGGAACATGACAACTGACAAGTGCTCCTGAGCACCTGTTGCAGCAGCATCTGTTAAATCTGAATTTTCTAGCCTAGGGGTGGCTAACCTGCAGCCCTCAAGATGTTTTTGGACTACAACTCCCACAATCACTGCCCACAGGCTATGCTGGCTGTGCTGGAGAGCCCCCTCATACACAATACAATTAGGAGGGTGGCATGGAGTGAAATATTCTTGCTAGTTGCTCCCCAGCTTTGGGATCACACTCCCTATAAAGCAGTCTTCTTCCCCAACATGATGCCCTCCAGAGGTTATGAACATATTATTATTATTATGTTCCATAAACCATAAATACACTAATGATGCCATATATTTTTTGAAAAAATGTAAGGAGCAGGGCTCCAATTACTTGACATATTTCTCCTTGCTATTCATGGCGACAGGCACAATCTCTTCTAGGTACAGATGAGGTTTTACTGAGAAAACTCAGATCCATGAGCTGCAAAGTGGTCAGAGCCCTCACCACTGCTATCTAGCAGGAAATGTCTTCTGGAGTCTACTTCTTGTAAGAGAGGCTGGGTCAGCGTCATTTCTCGAAAGTGCATGTCAGCTGCGGGGAAGACACTGAAGTGTTTCCTCTCCACCAAAGAGGAGTCCCCAGAATAGAAATTTCAAATTTCTACAAGAGCTGTGCTATGAATTCCAAGAGAGCTGCTTCAGAAACCATTTCGGATTTGTTTTAGGAATAGGAGATTCAATAATCCCCTTTTTGTAAACAACACACTATCTGGGTATATGACCATTTATAGAGTAACACAGAACATGCGACACAAGGCTGCCTGGATGAGCTTATTGTTTACATTTCTAGTGGAGGGATGGAGAGACCAAAAAGAAAGATGACAAGAACAAAGCTATTAGCAGGAGAATGTACCGTATTTTTCCGTGTATAAGACAATGTTTATGCTAATTTTTTTAGTCAAAAATTGGGGCTTGTCTTACACAGGGATGATTAATGCACAGGGGTTAGGGCAGCCTGGGCTCAGGTTCTGACATGGGTGGCTTGGGATGGGTTCTGGCGCGAGTGGGCCAGACGGCCTGGGCTTAGTGGTGGCGGATCGGGGGGGGGAGAGCTTGTGATCACCGAAAAAAACCTCAACAACTTTGCCCAACTTCCAGGACTGCCGCTGATGTTTAAATATACAGTACAGTGGTACCTTGGGTTACAGACGCTTCAGGTTACGCGATTTCGGGTTGCGCGCTGCACCGAATCTGGAAGTACCGGAATGGGTAACTTCTGGGTTTCAGCGCTCGCACAGAAGCACTAAATCGTGCAGAAGCACTAAGACGCAGCACTGCAGGTTGCGAATGCTGCGGGTTGCAAACGTGCCTCCCGCACGTGTCACATTCGCAACCTGAGGTTCCACTGTACTAAATAAACCAGTACTTTAAATATTTACGAAAATACCAAAGTTGTTCTGTTTGACATTGAAAATATTGATTTCTTAATTTTGGGTTCAAAAAAATAGGGGTCGTCTTATGTACGGGGGCATCTTATACATGGAAAAAGATGGCCTATAATGCAGTTGCATGTACTTAGGGTTAGTTTCTGAACGGGGTGAGGATTAAGGGTAGAATTCAATGCTCTCTTCCAAACATTCCATCTGTGTAAGGATTGCAGCTTGCCAGATGGAACATTTCCCCTCTCCTCTGAACTCACACTGTTCTGGGGGTACTCCTGACACCCCCACAAGCCAATTTCAGGGGGTGAGGAGGGAGAAGAGGGAGGAAAGCACCATTGCACAAACAGAAGTCCTTGTTCAGGGCTCCTGCTGATGGGGCTCGTTAGGTGAATACCACTCTAAAGGTTTTAATGAATTGCTTTACAGAAAAGGTGGACTTTCAGGAGAGACCTGCAAGAGGAAGGTACTTTGTGATGGTGTTCCAGACACAAGGACCAACAAAAGGGAAAGGAGTAGCTTTGCTGAAAGGAGCAGGAGGCCTTTGGGCAATTGTGGGAGACAAGAGGTTGTGGAAAAGAGCATATTGTCCAACAAGAGTGGTGAATTATTTTGGCAGCAGAAATCTGGACAGAGGCAAAAGGAATACGCTAAGACATAGGAAGGCCAGAGAGAGGAAAGTTGCAAGCGTCAATAAGAAAGATGACCGGAGAATGAACTAGAGCTTTAGTCAAGAGGATGGAGATTGAGAAGTATAATTTTCACAATGCCGCCCTGGCAAAACTGATAAGGTTGGATGACAGATTGAATATGGGGTAGCAAATGTACATGGAGTAAGCTAATGCTTCTTGCCAAATCAACAGGATCAAGGGATAAAGAACAATCCCTGAGAGGATAGCCTGGGAAGAAAGTTGAGAAGCTTAGTTTTGAACATACTGAGTTTGAGAGAGAGGTAGGACAATCAGATAGGCAGGATCAGAGGGAACGGGAAAGCTCTCAAGTGGAGATGTAGACTGAGGAGTCATGTTTTAAATGAGCCTTCCCCAGCCAGGTTCCTTCTAGATGCTGTGGCGGTTGAGTAGGGCTGGGTTATATATCAATATATCATCCAAAACCAGTTTGAAGTCTCTATCATGATATCAGTTTCATAATTTTTGACCTGGTAATATATCACAAATCAGTGTGTGTGTGTGTGTGTGTGCGCACACAAAAATCACAATGTGGGAAAAACAATGAAGCCAGCCAATCCCTCTACATAGCTCCATCCTTAATTCAAACATTGTGATATATTGCTATATTACAATTTTTAGCAGGTGATATATCACAATGTTGAAAACCAGGTATCACCCAGCCCTACTCCCAAGGATGGTGGGAGGCGCAATCCAAACATCTGGAGGGCACCAACTTGGGAAAGGTTGCTTTAATTGGTGAATTTTTGATACTATATTTCAGCTTACTTGCTTCCAAAATTATTATTATTATTTTGCTGATGAAGAGCGAGCTTCAACTCAAAAGGCACTGGGACTACTGCTTCTGTAATATATTCAGTTTCGTACCTTATGACCATCACAACAGGTTGCATCCAACTAAGTCATATTCAAGAGTAGACCCACTGAAATCAGTGGATGTAAAATTAATCAAGACCATAAATTTTAATGGAGTGAATCAAATGCTGTTGATGCACAAGCAGAATCACTAGTGCTAAGAGACTCCAGCAAACTCCCTCTGCCCCGGGTCCTATGCCCACCCACAAAATCAGCTCTAAGGGGTTGGGACGGATTCTGCAGGTACATCAGGGGAAATGCCCCACTGTGCAAGTGGAGGTTTGCTTGCGTAATGGTGGATTCCCCAATGGGTCAACTCTGACTGTAACTTAGCTTGCTACAACCCTACTTTTTATTTTCACTAATGGGCAACACCCTTTGATGTGTTATGCATGCAGTGATAAGAGAGCTCCTTTCTCCTCTTTGCCCAGTATTCATGAGACAGCACAAAAAGGAGCATGCAAGGAAAAAGTATTATGATGACACCAGTAACTCTGCCCTCACTGGTGCGTTCTTGGGTCCCAGTTCCACTTCCTGCCTCTGGCTGGTAGACTACCTCCAGGTCAGTCTGAAAATACCGTAAACTGAGATGGGGGGGGGGGATGAAGCAGGGAAAAGGAGTGTAAAGGGAAGCAGCAACCAGGTCAAACAAATGGTAGCATCCTTGGGAGGCGGAGCTGTCTGCTTCCTGCCATCTTCAGCAAGGAAGGTGCCAGTGGTTCCCCATGCCTGATCATCTTATGCCTACTGGACACTGGGATTTGTCCTCCCACTGCAGGCAACCCAATATTAGTCAACAAGTACTAAATATTACAACAAAGTCAATGATCAAATCTAAATACAGGTATCTGGTGTCAGGTGTAAAATACTATACCCAATATTCTGCAAATATGCAATCTTAACATTTGCAGGAGGAGAACTTTTGAGGACGGGGATTTGTTTCAGCTCTAGTGCCGCCTGCTGTCCAATCTCTAAAAGGAAGACCCGTCAGCAGGCAGGACTTACCCACAGCCCGGAACAAGCAGGCCCCATCTTCCTTCATCTGTTTTATGATGAACCCTTTCTTCTCTCTCAGCGCCTTCTCGAACCTGTGTTCCTGCTGGTGACAGGAGGGGCAGATGTCAGCAAGTTAGACGGCAACCCCATCCCCCAAACCAGAAAGGGTGACATATCCTACTCTTTCTCCAGTTCCCCATAAGGCAACCCAAACACGGGGCACCAGCTTTAAAATCCACAGCTGGAATAGAAAGGGTTACCCCCATGCATGGCTCCACTGTGCCCCCTAGAGGCTGACCCATGCAAAGAGATGGCCATTATTATAGCTTATCAATGGAGACACCACGGGATCCCAACAGTGATCCAACCATGGCAGTTTTAATGCGGGATGATACTGGACTTCCATGCCCACAACACAGTCATAGGAGAAGTCTCAGCAACTTCTGCAAGCTCATTTGGCACAAGGCTCTCATCCTGAGAAATATACATTTGGCAATATGTCCATAATATGTGCAAATTCTTTGTGTTTTTTAAGAGGAGCATCACAATATCATGTTTGGTTACACAAATGCCCCTTCCACATTTCCATACTCAAGGTGCCCCACACACCTATGATCCAATCTCAGCGCTCTTCACCAAAAATGCATCGACTACAAGAGTAAGGAAAATACATTATTTTAATATCTCATCCCAGTTTTGTTACTGTTTGCTTTGAAAATTAATAAAAATCCATGTAAAAACCCAAGGAGGGTCTTCCTCACAGTGCCAGACAGGAAGCAGTATTTGTGCAAACTGCTTCATTACTGAATCAAGATTAAAGATATTTAATTCCTCACTACAATGCTTTACAGACTTGGTCTTACAGTACAAAAGTTGCAACTTTTACGATTACTCCTGAAGGAAGAACCTATGCCCCAAGATGTGTTGAGCTGTGATAAGTATTAAAAGCACTCTTTTCAGAACTAGTTTCTCTCTTTTTTGGCATTCTATTAGGTCAGATCTGACTGTATGCATGCAAGCAGCTGCATTTAGCCAGGAGGGAAAATCCAGAATTCTGCATTACGACCAATACTCCGAGAATGCTGGGCAAGAACTACTTATTTCAATGGGCTGGCTCAGGAGAAGACATCCCTGTGGACCACTGACTCTTAGAAGGCTTAATACTAATCTCCTTCAACAACTTACACTAGAACAGTTCAGAACTCGTCAGAACTTCCAAAGAAAAGTACACTTGTGTTTTCTGGTTCAAATGATTGTGCTGCCATCTTCTGGCAACAAGTGGACATGCATGCCCACAGGCAGCCAAGCTGTTCTTCCAGAGCTCCCCTTCTTAGCAAAGCTCAGCCTTCCTTGTCCCTGTTATCACATTTTCTATACATAAATTGAATAGCTGGTGTGAGGAGAACCATTAGTGGTATTTGGGGTTCTGGAAAAAGACAAGGAAGATGTGCTGTGTGGTGCTCTTTCCAAACATTTTGTACAGGGCAGACAATATACTTGGTCATCTGGATCAACTTGACAGGATCCAGAAAATCAAAGAGCAAAAAGAGCATCAAACACAACAAACTCTCCATGAATTTCACAGACAAGTAATGTAAAGCAGACAAGCATTTTCACCTCCTTATTACAATGGAGGCTGGAGACAGTGTTTTGATTGAGACTGCTTGTGACGTTGTGGATGAGACTGATTTTGAACTAAAATGTCCAAGCAAATAGCTTATTCTATTAACTGCGGCACTAACAGTTTGGGTCTAACCCACTCCCCAAACTCCACACACCCACTCCAACACACCCCAACAACCTATACAATGCAAATCATAGTGAGCAGATTTATTAAACGTTTCATAAAATATATTTCAGAGCAACATTGTCTTGCATAAATAGAAAGCTGTCTAGATTGTCCCAGTACCCGTAATACACTTTTGTATCTTTGGGGGGGCTACAGCAGCTTTAGCTCATTTTTCGTACCAACCACCACGCTGGAAATTTTCACAATGACACTTTTATAACCAAATGTTCAAAATTAGCCAGGTGCATTTTGTACCTTTTTTACCGGTCACTTGCGACCAAGTGAAGAAGTCTGGGTGCTAGGATGACGGCTGACGTCTCCATCTGGAGGGGCATGTCTGGAGATCCTTGGATCTTGCCTGTTTTCACACCCTAACAGCACATCCTTTAGAATTCTAATCATGATATTTTATCTGCACAAGCAGAACAAATTTCAGGAACGAAAAAGTTGCATTGAAAAATACAACTTTCAAGCCATCTGGCCCCAAAATGGCAACTAGACGTTCTGTTCTGGCGACTGTAACCCTGGTTTAAGGAGCCATTTGGTGCCTAGATTATATATCTAAGTTTCTAACACTGTTTACAACCTATGTTACTGCCTAGAAAACTGGGTTGAGCCATAAGCAGAACATTTTAATGTTATTTTAATTGGTTTTAAAAATACACACATGCAAACTATCCTGAGATCATTTATGAGGGCTTAAAAGTTGAATAAATACATAAACCACCTCAGAGTTCTGACAAACGTATAGGCTACTTCACAACAGCTGCACAGAGAAATGTTCCAATTTCAGACAGGGTAATGAAAGATGCACTCAACAGGTTGCACACAGCATGCTCATTATGTGAGCATGAAAATCGCTGAAAATTTTCAATTTTAATTACCTCAATTACAGGAACTAAGGCATATTTAAAAAACACACAAAGAAAAGAAAAGTAAACTTCATTTAACAGAAACTAAATCTCTGTCTCTTCACAACTATGAGGGCTGAATGAGTTTTATTTTTCTTCCAGTGAAAGTTCAGATTCTTAGGATTGTAGAAGATATTCTGACCTTGGTAATCCAGACCACAACTTCTACCCCAGTCTAGGACAACAATGACATTCACAAAACTTTTGCAGGCAACTGCTAGTGTACACAGACAACTGAATGATGAACTTCTTGCAACTTGGAAATATTTAGACAAGTATATATCTTAGAGACTGGAAAGGCATTCTACCACCAAAATCTAGCAGCACAGTAATAATAAATATGTTGAACTATGCAGAAAAAGAGACACAACCCCAAATTTTCCAGTACAGGGACTATTTTAGACTTCTCCATTCTGAATTTCACAACAGCACCTGCTCATTGACACCACACAGTGCATGTGTACTCCTCCCGCCCCCACGATCTATGTAAGGCACTGCATATTTACAGAATCAGGCAACAGCTGCTCCCTATTTCTTACTAAGCGGGTGGAACACACTTCTTTCATTGACTAACAGAAATAATATGAACATCATATGCGGCCCCAAAAGCTCTTCCATAAAAGCTTTTCAGAACACAACAAACTCTCATTTTCTGTCCTTCCTTCCAGTAGTTGTTTTTCACTCTGGCTAAATTATGTTTGCTATTCTTTTAAAAAGCTCTCCTCACCCCACCTTTTCCTTTGCATGAGTTCACAGTTAAAATGGGTAGAGTATTTGATTTTCTGCTGGGACTATTTAGGAATGAATGCCTAGAGCATTTCAGATTCCTGAGCTCTCAGCCCTCACCTATGGATGAGTCACTTCAGCTACCTGCCGTGTTTTGGAAGTGTGTGCATTAATCACCCACTTCCTCTGATGAACAACAGTCCCACATCGCTTCAACACACTAGTAAACCTGACCAACAAGTCCTCAACTTCAGAGTCTTTGCATATACAATTATAGTTCCCAGGCATGTGCCTACTCCATGTTTTAAGGATATACAACTGCCTTTCACAATTATGTGGAACACTGGCAAAACTCAGCAACCACAGTTTGAGAATTCTCAGAACAAAGCTAACTCCTTGCCAGTCTCCCATTCATTTCAATTGATGCCATTTCTGTCCAGATACCGCCCAAGCAAGTTCAAATTTCCTATGTGCTCTCTTCTGTACAGCACTTTAAAGCAGTGTTTCCCAACCGGTGTTCCGCGGCACACTAGTGTGCCGCGAGACGTTGCCTGCTGTGCCGTGGGAGGGAGGCGGGCGAGTCGGGCGGGGAGAGGCGGGGCGGCGGCGGGGCAGCGCGCACAAAAGGGAGGAGCGCGAGACGGCGGCGGCGCAGGGCGGGAGGGCGGCGCATTGCGCGTGCTCAAACCCGCCCTCCGAGGCGCAGAGGGGAGCTGGGCAAGCGCCTTCTTCAACCACGCGCTCGTTTAAAAGTTTCTCTTTCAAAAAGGAAACGTGGGTTTCTTCCACCCCATTGGCTGCGACTCCGCCCACTCCGTCCTCCTCCCCCTCGCCCGCCCGCGGCGCCTCGCTCCTCAGCCTCCGCCATGTACCGCTCGCTCCGCTCCCTCCAGCGCCTGAGTTGCGCCAGGGGCGCCGCAGTCCACGCGCGCCAGAGGGGCCCGCCGACCTGCAGCCGCCACGCGCAGCCACGGAGGATGGTGAGCGGCGCCCCCCCCGCTGCGCGCGCAATGGAGGGAGGGAGGGAGGCGCAAGGGCGTCAGAGGTGACCTTTGCCAGCCTCTTGCGGGACAGGCGCCTCCTGCGCGGCTGAGGGGCCCCTTCCCGCCTTTGTGGGCCTGACGCAGCCTCAGGGTTCCCTCCCTCTCTCCACATATATAAATTGGCTTTTATTATTAGCGCTTTCGCATTCCTTTTTCTCCCTCCCAGGAGCTCTGGCGGGGGGCGGGGCGGGCGGGGCTCCCCGCCATTTACCCCCCACAACAACCCTGTGAGGGAGGCCGGGCTGAGAGGATTCCAACCCGCGTCCGCCCCCGCTGCTTCCTTCAAGTGGTGTCCTGGGCGAGGACAACATTTGACGGCCCCTCCCTCAAATATCCCTCATTTTCGCAATAATTCATTTTGGTACAGCTGCTTTTTCCAACGGATCTGTTCAGTGTTGTTATTTGCGCCCCTCTGCCGCCAGCAGCGTCCCAAATCCAGCGCTGCTCCCCTCCTTAGGATGCCAAGCACTCTGAATTGGGAAGTGGCCCCCTTGGGAAGAGGGAGGCTTGCCTCCAAGTAAAGATGAATATGAAAGTACCTTGTTTTTAAGGGCCTGCGGTGGTGGTGGCTGTTTAACATCCAAGGCTCACAACACAAAAACACAAAACTACATTACATGGGACAGTGGTACCT